CGAGGAATGGGACAAAAGCCCGTGAATTGAAAAGTTCTATAGTGGATACCCAACCTAGTTGGTCCTAGGTTCAAAAGGGACAACTAAATTATAGAGCGAAGGATGGTCACTGTGGGGGTCCTGGACTCTTACCCAATCCTCGTTTAAAACAGTGACTCCCACACGAGGTTAGCAAAAACGTTTGCTTTAATGATTCTAAAATGTTGATCTACTCGATAACATTGGAAGAGTATGCGGGATACTCGTGAAAGAATCACCTATGTGAGAGAGAAGAGTGTCGCTTCAAAGGAGAACTGTAAAGGCTCAGTTCTTTAGAAACTCTTGCAGAATCAGGACGGTGACCCATGGCCAAAACGGGCACACCCATGAAAACGGAACAAAGTTGGAAGGTTCTTGTGTAAAGATAAGTCAATGTTTACACGACAGCAGTATAGTTCAAGGACATCGAGTCTACTAGACAGTTAGTAAATAAACGTGTCTTTACAACGGAAGGTTCAAAGGATAAAACCTACCTCTCCGTATGCAAGGATCATCCGGTGAACACAACGTGTCCTCCTATCTTCGTGTCTTTTTAAGTCTCGAAAATCAATTTTCATTCATGTGGGGGATTGTTGGAAAAATGTGTTAAAAATTACATCAAATGGTCATTTTGGGGCAATTATTTGAGTGGGGTCCACTTCCGATTTGGGTCGAGTCAAAGTGGTTTCGGATTGTCCTTGTCAAGGGCTACAATTCGATATATGGTACGCTCAAAACAGATAACGGGTGAATGAGAAATTGATTCTCGAAGTTCACTCATTGAAATGGAAAAACTAGGAAAATGATGAGTTTATAGCGTGTTTTATCCCACACTGGAAAACTCAAGGGATTTTCACCGCCTTATAAAGGGAAACCTCTTTTAAGGAGTTAAGATTCCTAAAGGTAAAGGCTCTCTCTTACGCGCAGGGGGGGAGGGTGCCGATCCAATCCCAAAACGGAGAAGAAAACCCGCGACTCGTGTGCGCGGGCGACCTGCGGACATTAATGTCGTCCGAAAAGTCTTTGTTGCGAACAGAAGACCTCGCGTGTCTCTGTTGTGAACAGAAGACCTCGGGCAACCAAAGGGCAATCCTTATGGTTACCGTGCCGAGCAACTCTGTGGAGAAACCCGAAAAAATTTAACGGGTTAAACTTCAAGAGGTGGCAACAAAAGATGCTATTCTATCTCACTACTCTCGGTCTTGCAAGGTTCTTGACCGAAGATGCGCCGGTAGCAACCAGGGGTGAGGTGGATGCGCAATCTTTCAACGCGGTTGAAGCTTGGAAGCATTCTGCCTTCCTTTTCCGAAACTATGTGTTGAACGGGCTGCATGATGCTTTGTACGACGTGTATAACAAATTAGCTACGGCTAAGGAGCTATGGAATGCGTTGGACCACAAATATAAAAGCGAGGATGCCGGCGCAAAGAAATTTGTTGTTGGTCGATCCCTTGATTTTAAAATGGTGGATTCGAAAACGATCTTGAGTCAAGTTGAGGAAATGCAAATGATCTTCAACGAAATTCGAGATGAAGGAATGACAGTTAGTGAGTCTTTCCAAGTGGCGTCAATTATCCATTTATTGCCACCGTCTTGGAAGGATTTCAAGAACTACCTTAAGCACAAGCGAAAAGAAATGAACTTGGAGCAATTGATCCTCCGTCTGCGGATTGAAGAGGATAACCGGAAGAATGATGGGAAACTCCCAATCGTTAACGGCGCCAAGGCCAACGTGGTGGAGCATGCAAAAGGCTCCAAAAATAAAAACAATGGGAAGAGCAAGCTCGGTCCCTAGGGAGGCGTTTCCAAGACGAAGTTCAATGGAAAATGCTTCAATTGCAACAAGAACGGACACAAGTACGCGGATTGCAAGGCACCAAAGAGGAAGAAAGATTCTCACGTGAACTTGGTGCAAGGTGGGCAAAAGGATGAAGACATCATCCTTGCGGCTGTGGTGACCGAGGTCAACCTCGTTGGATCCAATTCCAAGGAGTGGTTCGTGGACACCGGAGCAACCCGGCATATTTGCTCAAATCGGGAGTTATTCACTACTTTTGAGCCATCAAATGGTGAGAAGGTGTGGATGGGAAACTCAGCTCATTCCGCGGTTGAAGACGCGGGCAAGGTGGTCCTGAAGATGACTTCGGGCAAGGAGCTAACTCTCAACAATGTGTTGTACGTCCCGGAGATACGCAAAAACCTGATCTCGTACTTTGCCTAATATTCCTAATCTATCCATTTATTTTTCTTCCCTAAAATACTACCTAGTCCTTTGCCTTTCTTGCCTCCATTATTTGTTTACGTACTTGCCTTTCTTGAGGATAAACATCATTCTTTTTTGTTAGACAACCATCTTAACATGATTTAAATTATAACTATTTACTAATAAATTTAGAAAACCTAAGAAATTTAAAGAATTGTTATTTGCCGTTATCATTTTATTTTTTTAATGCGTAGTAAAAAAATGGTCTAAGTAGACGTACATAGTAATAATAATAAAATCAATGACAATATCCATTAAACTATAATTTAAATATCTATAATAGTTGTAATTTTCTACGAAAAATTCACATGAATAATCCCAACTATTAGCGGTCTTCCAATATTAATCTCAAATATGCATAATTCTAAAATAATCTGAAATATACGGACAACCTTCCCTACTTGATCCAAGTTACCCGCAACTTAGACAGCTGGTAAAAAAATTATAAGAAAAATAAATTGGCACCAGGCTATTCATCTTCACCATTTTCCCAGGTTCATTGCTTCCTTCTTCCCTCACTTGTCCTTAATTTTTTCTTTCTTTTCTCCCTCCACCCACATCCCCACATGGATTTCATCTCACCTTCAACTTTATTCTCTAATTTGCTCCTCAAATTTTTATGTCACTCTTTCAAATTCACATTTGAAAGATTTGATTTGGTCAATCCAAAATCTATTTTGAGGCTAATTCATCAGGTTCGATGACCAAAACTGAATGACGGGAGGCCAAAGATGGGACTAAGGCAGTTGATATGACTAGGCGCCCGGTGACGATGAACAGATGGGAACGACGGATGGCTGATGTTGAAAAACAACTAAAATGGACGGATAGATGGTGATGAAGAACTGATAAGATGAAAGGACACTGGTGATGCCTGGGACAGACAGCCGACATGTGCTTATCTGAGTTGGGTGGCGATGCTGGAACAAGAAAAGGTCACGCGACCTCCGACATCCCTACTCACCTGGTTCTCTGGAACACTCGTACGCATAAAGGAAAGAAGAGGAAGATGAAAGAAAAACTGAAACAAAAAGGAAAAAATCAAAGAAAACAAAAATGGGAAAAAAGAAGAAAGCTAATAACAATTGGCCACGTGTCCGAGTTGCCTGCTGAATAGGTTTATGCAGGTCACCGGTTCATTCTGATGAAGAAGCTTGTTATAGTTCAAATTATTTTAGAATTATGCATATTTAGGATTAATATTGGAAGATCGTTAATAGTTGGAATTATTCTTGTGAATTTTTCCTATTTAAAAAGTATAACGTGCTATGCAACCTATAAAAAACCTGGCCTTGAAAGTCATTGTATAAATTTTCAGCTGATTTTAAATAACCATTTAGGCAAACATCATTTTACAAATCGCTAATACTATCAGTTAATCAAAAAAGCCAACTAAATCAGTTGTCATCCATCAGCTAATAAGAACTGCCATCGATCAGCCAACAGTCAATTGTCAAACACCACACATGCATCATAGATAAAATATACACGTAACATATATGAGCAACTCACGTTCATGAGCAACACACATTTACCCTATCTTTATCCGGTAGGAATGACGCACATGGCCTTCAGGCTTCATCCGCATAATTTTTGTTTCCCAAATTAAATAAACAATAATAATTGTGCAGTTAAAGAAATTGCAATGTCATCAACCTAAAAGTTTGTCAAGTATCATAAGAAAGTATACAATCTAACATGCAAATGAGCATTCGTATTCAAGATTATCAAAACTTAGAGGCCGTTTGGCATCCCTCATTTTCGGCTTATCAGGCTTATCAGCCAACTTTTTTACCAAACACGTAAACTTTGCTTTCGCGCGCTGAATTGTGTAATAAGCCGAAAAAGTAAGGTTGGAGTAACTTTTCTGGCTGTATTGGCTGAAGTTATTGTAGATGATCATTTTAGCTATTTTTACATATAATTTTTTCTTTATTTTATTAATAAAATATATTTTAAAAATATTTTTTTCTTGTATCAGCAGAATCAGCCAATGCAGCCACTTCAGCCAGAACTTCATAAACTTCAGCAGAATCAGCCAAAACAGCCGATTTTCGTGCTACCAAACGGGCTCTTAATCTTGAATCAGACAGTAAAAATCCTTTATTTCATACTCCCCACTTATTAAAAAAAGATTGAGACTCATCAATTAATTGATGGGTGCACACAAAGTACACTTTTTGAGAAATGAGGATGAAGGAATAGATTGAAAACAGAAAATGTGTACACTTTTTGTATATACCATTCAAACGTCTTATCGGTCTACATTGTATATAAGCAATTTTGTCTTTGTAGACGGATAAAGTGTGGGAGTGGTATACTCAAAAAGTGCACTCAACACATTTCCATGATAAAAGAATGATAAAAATAGGATGACATTTAGAAGGTGTAGATTATGCCGTACACTTTTTGTGTAGCACTAGCATAATTGTTTTCAAAAGGGATAATTTGAGTTTAATTTTCACCCCATTTTATTATCCAAACTAGACTTTGCACCATGTTTTTGAAATCATTAGTATTTGCACCTCAACTTCGTATGAAAAGACAAAAATGCCCCTCGATCAGGGTTATGTTGAAGGCCAACAAAATTATTAATCGAAGGGCATTTTAGTCTTTTCATACAGGGTTGGGGTGCAAATACTAAAAATTTCAAAAAACGGGATGCAAAGTCTAATTTCTATAATAAAATGGGGTGCAAACAACTTTTTCCTCCCATACCGACCGATTAGGCTGTTACCCGAAATGGGGAAAACGGTCAAACCCAAAGTTTCTCCACATCGACCTTAGCTTACATCGTCCTCGATCGGTCGATCCCATTTCCTCAGTCTCGTCGGCCGCCTTAATTAGCCCCTGAAATCGGCTGCCTTGCAGCCGCTGCCGCCGTGTACAATCATTTATTTTGAGTATGATGATTCCAAAGAGGAAAGTTCGGAATTAATACCTTGCTTGCTCTTGCAGCTATGGATCTGCAGCCAGCGCTTTGACTATTTCACTACTTGTTACCTTGATAGCTAGCGCCGTCTGCTCCTAGAACCATACTTGCTGATATTTATCCGTGAAAAAGCCACAATGAAACAAAAGAGAGACGTCCTGCATTCCGCGAAGCTGCGGAAGTACGTTCTCATTGGATTGGTTGTGTCACTCGCTTTGGTCTGTCTATACAATGGCTCTTCCATTGCTCCAGGTCTGTCAAAAGGCTTCGAAACTTTCGATGAAGGATCTGATCCTGTCACTGGAAGAGGGGATGACGTGGAAGAGTGGCTTGATCATCATATGGAACACCACCTGGAACTCCCCAAAAGAATTCCTGTGTGTTTCTCAACTCAAGTTTTGTCATTTTTTGTACTCAGTATGAATTAATGTAATACATACGTTATAGCGTGGTCTTCTGCTCATGAAGTAGCTTCACAGGCCCATGTTAGCTAATTAGTTGTTATTTTTGTAGGCTTGTGATATGAGCCATTCCGAGCTGATACCGTGTTTAGACAGGAATTGGATATATCAATCGAAGCTAAAGCTGAACTTGTCTTTGATGGAGCATTATGAGAGGCATTGTCCACCTCCTCAGCGCCGTTACAATTGCCTCATTCCTCCCCCAGCTGGCTACAAGGTCAGTACGTGGTTTACTCCCACTACGTGCCGAAAGGGTATTCAAACCAAATTTGGAATTAGTTAAAATGTAGCCTCAAAGGCCGGGTCTTTGTGTACTGTTTTACCCATTTTTACATTTGAGTAGTCTTGTGACTCTTGTCCTGTGGAGATATACTACACTTACTTTATTAAGTACTATGCCAAGTTTCTGTCTGTTGAATTTGATGCCAACGAGAAATTTTTAGATGTTCAGATTCCAATTAGATGGCCAGCCAGTAGGGATGAAGTGTGGAAAGCAAACATACCTCATACACATCTAGCACAAGAAAAATCAGACCAGAATTGGATGGTGGTTGATGGAGATAAGATAAGGTTTCCAGGTGGTGGAACACATTTTCATGATGGAGCGGAGAAGTATATTGCAGCTATTGCATCGGTATGATTATCTTTTTTATATGGAAAGTGCTGACGAATGCCTCTAGGGCGCTTTTTAATGGTTTAAGGAATCAAAAGAGGAAATATTTTTATTATGAAGCAAAACAAATGCATTCAGATATGTACAAATTGCACTCTCCTTTGTGTCTAAATAAAAAAATTCCTCTTTTAATTCCTCAGGGAATTGGTTGTTAACACTTAATGAGACCCTTTTTGTAAATGTCATTTGACCTTATCATTGTGACACTAAAAACTGTTCTAATGTACTTCTGTAGATGCTCAAAATTCCTGGTGAAAAGCTCAGCAATGGTGGAAAGTTAAGAAATGTACTTGATGTGGGTTGCGGTGTTGCTAGCTTCGGTGCATATCTTCTCTCACACAGTGTCATAGCTATGTCAATTGCTCCAAATGATGTGCACGAGAATCAAATACAGTTTGCATTGGAGAGAGGGATTCCATCTACATTGGGTGTCTTGGGTACCAAGAGACTGCCTTATCCAAGCAGATCGTTTGAATTGGCTCATTGTTCCCGTTGTAGGATTGATTGGCTTCAACGAGACGGCATTCTTTTGTTAGAACTGGACAGGTTGCTCCGTCCCGGTGGGTATTTCGTTTACTCCTCGCCAGAAGCATATGCACACGATCCCGAGAACCAAAAAATTGGAAACGCTATGCATGACCTTTTTAAAAGAATGTGTTGGAGAGTTGTTTCAAGGAGAGAACAAACAGTCATATGGGCTAAATCTCTGAGTAATAGCTGTTATGCAAAGAGAAACCCAGGAACCTTACCCCCATTGTGCAGCTCTGATGAGGATCCAGATTCCACATGGAACGTTCTGATGAAGGCCTGCATTACTCCCTACTCGCGAAGTAAGCATTATATCAAGCACTAAGTGGGTAGAGGGGTATGGAGGGCTTAATCCATATATTGATATGTAGGGAAGAGTTCAAATGAAAAGTGGTCTTCCCGTGCAAAGTGCAAAGTTTTCACTTTTTCATGTTTCGCTTGCACTTTTTCTTGTTTGCGTTGCACTTTTTGGCCATTTTGATTTTGGCCAAATTCAGCCAAAATGACGGTGGCAGTTTTGTAAACAAACCAATTTTTTTGAGCTACCGCGAAAAAGTGCAACGAAAGCAAGAAAAAGTGCAAGCGAAACATGAAAAAGTGAAAACTTTGCACTTTGCACGTTAAGACCACTTTTTATATATATAGGAGATGGTTCAAATAAAAAGACCTCTTCCCATGCAAAGTGAGAATGAATCTTGTGCCTTCATTTCTACCTCTAATGGCTCAAAATGAGCCAAAAATGCACAAAATTCGACCAAGATCGCGGTGGCAATTTCGTAAATATGTTGCACTTTTTCGTTACCGCGAAAAAGTGCGACAGAACACGCAAAAGTGCAAGCGAAACATGCAAAAGTGCATATCTTCGCACTTTGCACGGGAAGAGGTCTATTTATTTGAACTCTTCCCTCTCTCTCTCTATATATATATATATATTGAGATTTTTTAAAATATGAAACATTAAAATGTTTTTTGATCATAAAACATTCCAATCACCTTTTATTTTTAGAAATTCTTTTAAAATAAAGATATAGACTGAGCTTCTGAACTGGTTCCCTTTAAAATCCTCTATCCATGCATACCTTTAGTGGCCCAAATATGTCTTATTCCCAGTAATTCCAAAGACATGAACAATAATTCTTTTTCCTTCTTATATGTTGCTTTTCTACTGTCCAATGTTTGTAATGAAGAGATGCATCGGGACAAAGGCAGTGGACTAGAACCTTGGCCACAGAGGCTCACAGCAGTTCCTCCTCGATTAAAAGAAATTGGTATTTCTCCAGATGAATTTCAAAAGGACACTGTAAGTTTCTTTAATGCCAGAACTTAGTGAAATATGTTTTGTCAAAGTTGTGATCTTGTGAGTTATGGCAGAGTATTTGGCATGCTCGAGTTTTTGACTATCGGAAGCAGATGAGAACTGTCGTTACGCAGAAGAACTCTTTCAGAAATGTGATGGACATGAACTCAAACCTTGGGGGGTTTGCTGCTGCACTCATAGACGAGGATGTTTGGGTGATGAATGTGGCTCCAGTTAATAATGCATCTTCCAGGTTGAAAATCATTTATGATCGAGGCTTAATTGGAACTGTTCATGATTGGTACGCAACATTGATATTACATTGGTGGTTTACTCTTATATTTCCTAATAACAAATACATAGTATCATTCTGTAAATGAAGAACCAAAGAGAAACTCCATATGATGTAAATTTAGATTTTATTACTACCTCGCAGAAAAAGAACTCTTATGTGTGTGATACTACAATTAGTATTACAAACATGACTTTTGGTGTTAATGATTTTGGACTATTGTGATATTGACGAGTACTGATAACTATGATATGTTAAATATTCAGGTGCGAATCATTTTCAACATACCCACGCACCTTTGACTTGCTTCATGCGAACTTAGTATTCTCAGAGATTGAGTCGCGTGGCTGTAGCATGGAGGATCTACTTATAGAGATGGACCGGATGCTAAGGCCAGAAGGATTCATCATCATAAGAGACAAGCCTTCTGTTATAAACCATATACGAATGTTCTTGACAGCATTACAGTGGGACGGCTGGGTATCAGAGGTCGAACCTAGGACTGATGGTCTCTCTTTGGCTGAAGAAAGGGTTTTAATTACAAAAAAGAAGATGTGGGAATAGAAAACTTTTAATGGTGTGCTGTGAATGTCTGATTGCTCATCAAAAGGTTAGGTAGGAAGTTTTGTTTATTGTAACTTGTAAGCCTTGTGTTTCTAATCGTTAACATGCCTCATATGTTTACTGTTTAATATTTCCTTTTTATCCTAATACAGTAGCCTCTTCATAATTGTGTTTTTTTCTTTGTCTCTGGTTGAACCAACTACAGTTTTAATTTGATTTGTTAGAGTAAACACTAATTTTGATATAAGCTTTCGTTTATTATGTTTTCAGGAACGAATTGAAGTGAAAGGCCTTTCGAGTAGCAATTAACATAGGAAAATGGAGCTCTTCTGATTTTGTGATGATTTGAGGTCAAGAATGGTCCTTGAATCAAGAAAATTGTGATTTGAACAACAAAGCCTACTGTGAATGAGAAATGTTTTGTTTGTAAAAAACTACCAACACTTCTACATGTCCCTCACTAACTAGATAAGGTTTCTATAATTACATGATGCCAACAGATGTACAAGCTAATTTTTAATTTATTAGAAACATATTTTGAAATTTATGGGTCGAAAGTGTTAAATTACTATATCAGCTTGTTTCTGGTTGCAGAAAGAGTACATTATTTTGCACTGGACACTAAAAAATACGTTAACCTGGTTGTGACTTGTGAGGCCTTAGATTTTTTCGATGAAACTTGAGATTGTCTATATAACTTATATTGCATATTGTTTTTTCAAGCATTGGTCTAAAATGCTTGTTTAGACTTTAGAGGGTACAGAGTCTACACAATTTACTGAAAACTGATGCGGAGTACACAATTTAATTAAAAGAAAATTTTGAAAAACTTTTAATATTCTGCCGTGTACTTTGAAAGGAAAATGGAAATTTGTAAAGGGAAAAATACAAGAAAAGAAAATGTGGTGTATTTGCTTTCGTGTGGCTCGTGTGGATATAGAACGCTTGTAATTGTGGAGATTATTTGTGTTTCAAATTGTCACTTAAAATGCCATGTTTTAAATATTAGCTAATGAAACGGAGATAATAAAAAAGTTAATTTGACAATATTTTCATAAACTAATGCAATTAGTTTCGAATCGTGAATCCTAGTTTGTCTCTTTTCATGCGGGAGTTATTTTTTTTGAACGGAAACTTGCCTCTATTCATATCATAAGTTTGAGGATCATTATATCAGTTAAAGGAAAAACAAATCTATCACCAACTAAACCCCAACAACTACAATCGTAAACTCTATGATCAGACTTAAAAACGCTCATCCCTAAAAGAGCAACAAGAATCGCTAACCATGCAACGGGCTTTACACAGCCATCTCTGTTCTCATAGATCCAAACATACCGATAAACCTAACAATATAGACGGTAATAAGAAAACAAATGATAAAATAATAAAAGCTAATAGGAGGAGAACGGAAGTACGGAACATGAAAAAAACTAAATAAGCAAAAGAAGTATCTTGAACACTAGCACCTCGTTCATCCCCTGGCGGTGGTTCAGGCGGAGGACGGACCATCGCTATGATTGTTGACACGAACAAGGCACAACTCCCGCCCGTCACTCGATTGATTCTCTGATGCGCAACATCCGTCTTCCCCGCAATTTCAGCCCCTCTGGACGCCTACCTTTCTCCCTCCCTGGGCTCCCGCATCTCCTTCTTCATCAGCCGCCACATCATGCTTAGTGATATTCATGCGAACAATTCCTTCTCTGCTAACCTAATCGTCGCTCCAAATGACGACTAAATCTAAACGCCGCACACAAGACGGCAAAAAGTGGAACCCTTATGCAAGCGAGAAGACCGCTCTTCTACGGGAGTATTGATTTATGTTTTCAAAATTTTTAACTTTAATGTCAGTCGTAATTTAAACCTAGTAAAATGGTAACCAATGTCATTTGTGCAATTCCATTTAATAAATTGTACTTCAAATTTATACAGGAATAATTAAAATTAACAAAACTATTTTTTAATATTAAACAAAATCTTGATACATCTAACTTGATACAGTGGGTGACTGGGTGTTAATGATTTGTTATTCAACAACTATTCGCATATAATTTTGCCTATGCAAATACAGTGGGTGACTGGGTGTTAATATTTTGTATTCTTTGCATTTAAAGAAAAAATGCACTTATAAAAAGTGAGGACCGAGCAATTGCCTAGGCTCGCTGTCCATGGGAGAGAAATATGTAGGAATTGTTGTGAATCACAAATATATTGCAAAAAAGGGAAAGATGAGATAATTTCAGGATGGGCAAAAAAGGAAAGTTTGAAGATAAAATAGAGACGGAGGGAGTAGTTGTTATTGAATAATTTGGTACTTCTATTTTGTGGTTGAGATTTTCTTTAGCTGCAACAGAATTAAAATTTTCAAATTCGTTTTACACATTTGTTTTGGAAAGACACTATTGCTTCACGAGTGCAACATTGCAAGGAAGAATTGAACTTGGAATGTATTTATCAAACGTTCCGCCAAAAAAATATTACACGCCATTGTATATTGTATATTTGTATATGTTATAGCTTGATTACAATAACAACACCGCTATTCTACATGCCCTTTTGTGCACGTCTTGTACATACGACGTCGGTGATTATGCTATTTTTTTGTGAATATACTATTTTTTGTCTATGCATAGTCGATTTATCAATAGCGTACAAAGTGTGTACAAAATAGCGTGTATAAACAGTTCTTTTCATTCATTAAAGAGATACCGTCATATTGATATTAAAAATTTGGTGTTTTGACATTCACAAAATAGTAACACACATAAACATTATTTGAATATCTTAAATCTATAATCAAGTAAACTCCAAATGAATCCTTGCAAAAGTATGTGTAGTTTCTGTAATATATTTCAAAGAAAAAATAACAGACCCGCTAGTGCATCATTAACACCCTACAAGACATATGTGTATATATCATATAAAGCTTTTTTTACGTACTGTATACTCCTATAGAGTATTAAATAAGTTAAACTAAAATGATATTTTCATTATTACCTATTTGAATGAGCATTATACAATATAATCTATAAAAGGATTTTGAAAATTTTAATTATATAGTGCAATTAAAAAATCATCAACGCCATAGAAGAGTTCACATTTAATTTAAAACCTAAATGTTATGAATAACAATGATACAGTATCATTGATACTTGTACTTGATCAACACACAAACCCAATTTGATGTAATTTGGAGGGTGGTAAATAACAAGGGAAATGGACACCAATATTACTAAACGGAGGCCCAATTCCAAAAAAGTGAGTCCAATTAAAAATAGACAAAAAACTGACCTAGTGGTAACAAATCTGGAAACTCACAACAGCAAGTATCTTCCGTCTTTTAGAAATACACGTGGCATACTAAACATTACCGGTCTGCTATTAGAAAAGATCGATAGAATCAACCGCTTCCAAATCTACTGTTCACTTCGAATCGAAATGAAGGAAGAAAGCAGAGTTAAGCATCGGAAATCAAGTTTAGCTGAATCTCTAATCGGTATGTTTATTCGTTTGAATCGCAAAATATATTTACATCGTTAGAAGATTGTTGTTTATCATTATAACTTGTTTTTAATGAATCATGTTTATTTGGATGAACTTCGTGTTATTCTTTTTTGATTATGTAATCAATCTGCCAGTTACACTGATATGCAAGTGATGACATGATTATCTTAAACTCCAAGCATTGTAGTTTGTAATTTTTTATGTATTGTTGCATTTGTTGGTCGTTATTGACATGTGTAACTGTATCTGGATTTGTGATTGAGAATAACCAGTTACACTGGTTACAGTTGATCTGGCAGTTACAAGTTGAGTACTTAATTGATTGAGATAGGTTGTGTTAGTTACATCTTGTACATTGAAATTGTTATCAGTGTCACTGTATCTGGATTTGTGTTTGAGAATAACCAATGTAACTATTATAATTGGTCCGCCAGTTACAAGTTCATTAGTTACTTGTTTGAGTTACATGTCTATTAGTAACATTTTATATAGTAAAATTGTTAACCATATAATTGGATTTGGATGTGTGTTTGAGAATAACCAGTGTAACTGCTATAATTGGTCTTTCAGTTACAAGTTGAGTAGTTACAGTGTATTAGTTACATCTTGTACATTGAAATTGTTACCAGTGTCACTGTATCTGGATTTGTGATTGAGAATAACCAGTTACACTGGTTACAGTTGATCTGCCAGTTACAAGTTAAGTAGTTAGTTGATTGAGTTACATGCTTTATAGTGACATAATTTGCAGTGATATAAGTAATTAAATATATAATAGTAAAGTCATTTACACTTGATAACTATTTTGTATTCAGATCAGGGAGAAGTCCTTAACTGATTTTTATAGTGAGATGGAAGAAATAATGGTGACAGTACTGTTTGACGGAAGATGGAAATCTGATAGGAAGTTTGTCTCAAAATCAACAGATGGACTTCTCTTGAATGAGAGGGCATCATATAGTGAACTGATTAGTGCACTACAGAACACCTTAGATATTGATCGGGGTGTGGATATTGATAGCATATCATATCAAATAGATGAAACATATGATCCAACTTGGATTGATAGTGACAATAGTCTACGCTTCTATATACATCTCAAAAGTAGAGAACGTAATAAAGTGAGCAAGTACCCATTGTGTGTTCAAATAAACAAACAAAACGAGACAAATGTGATTTCTCAGAGCAGTGCAATGGAAATTGAAAACGAAGATGTTTCTGTCATCAACACTACCAACAATGGAGAAACATTTGTGAGGACATTTGACCAATGTGTAGCTATTGATACACCGCTACTAACATGGCTAAGTGGTGAACAAATGGCAGGAATGGACACAACGTTAAGACTTAATGGCATTTATCCTACAAAGCAACATTTCAAAGAGACTTTGCAACTATATGCACTACACAACAAATTCCAATTCAAGACCAAGACCTCACATCATGAGGTTCTTCATGTTGTGTGCTTTGGAGAAGGTTGCAAGTGGGCAGTGCGCGGGGTCAGAATAGAGAAAACTAGTTGTTTTGAAGTTAAAAGGTACATAGTTCCTTATATTTGACTAAGTAGTTTACTGTACTTGGCATTGTAATTTGTAATTGTTTGCCAACTTCTTTATATATTTTTATTATTGTTGCTGAAATAAATTATGTGCTTTTATTTCATTGTGGTTGCAGGTTTGATGATGTGCACAAATGCTCAATTGATAGCAGATTGAGTGGGAATAGACAGGCAACTACAATGATTATTGAGAAGTTAATTAAACACCAATATCTTGATGCCTCAAGAAAACCATATCCACCCAAAGCGATAATGTCAGATCTGAGTTTACAGTTAGGTGTGAACGTAAATTACACAAAATCGTGGAGGAAAAGAGAAGGCTTTGATTGAGATATGCGGAACGGATAGAGATTCTTACAGAAAGTTGCCAAGCTTGTGTTACATGATAGACCGAAAAAACTTTGGATCTATTCTATCACTGGAAACTGACTTTGAAAGTAATTTCAAGACATTATTTATGTCATTAGGAGCGTGCAGACAAGGCTGGGCAGCTTGCAGACCAATTATCAGTGTTGATGGTTCATTCTTGAAATCGAAGTTTCAAGAACAACTTCTGAATAATTGATTATGCTTTTATTTTTAAAAAAGAAATAAGAACTAGAAACAGAATCAAACTTTACTTGTCCCAATCAATTATCCTTGTATATGGTTTGTACTTTGTATTGATTATTTGCTTCGTTTTTTAATGTAGTAGTTGGTAAAAAGAAAATTAATATAGGGTAGAGTTAGGGGTGGATTCGGGCCGGGCCTGGGCCTAGGCCCGGGCCGGGCCGCCGGTTCTAGAATAGTGGGCCCGGGACCGGCCTGAGGGTTGGACGGGTCCGGTTCGGGCCGGGCCACCCGCCCGGGTCACGGGTCGGGCCACCCGCCGGGCCGGGCCGGGTCGGGTCGGGTAATTTTTTTTTTTTTAATTTATATTTTATACTTTATAGTTTTATACAAGTATTAAAAAACAAACTTCAAGTGCATTTATTTGAAATGAAATAGGAACTACATTTGAAAATTAAATAGGAACTATAATTGTTTTTAATCGGAATCTCCGGCATAAGTAGAGCCACCCTCTGTAGATTCATCCATAAAGTGTTGTGATGGAGTGATGTCAATTTCTTGAGCTCTACGTGCTGCTTTCAACCAATCGTGGTAGCATATAAGCATCTCAAGAGATTCAGCGCTCAACCTCGTTCTGGTTTGTGTTAGAACATTGCCGGCCGAACTAAATTCTTGTTCCACGGCAACCGTTGAAACCGGCATTGATAGCACTTGCTTAGCCATCTTTGCTAAAACCGGGAACATTCTTTCTTTTCCCTTCCACCAGTTTAGTACGTCAAAATCATCATCTTCTTCAAAATCAACATCATAAGTTAAATACAAAGAAATCTCATTAATTGTGCTTTGTTGTGTAGCGGGAGTTGATTTTGTTTTTTTAATAAGATTGGCAAACGTAGATTTGAAAATTGATTTTCCTTTAGATGATGTTTGTGTCGGGGGAGGGGGCGCATTGCCATATTGTGCATGAAACTCATTGAATAATGCATAAAATATATCACTAACCTCGTTGTATTCTTTTTTCGGATCAATTGGGTTGTCCTCATACATTGGCAATGGACCAAAAAAAGCAGCATAATAATAATTCAAACATTCTTCTAAAGAACCAAGTCTAAAACGAGGATCGAGAACAAATGCAATACCATAAATATGCGGAATATGTGAATAATATTTTAAAAACTTTTCCTTCATAAAACCAGCAAAATAATTCACATAATCAGCATTCTCAAAATTTGAAAAAGCACCGACGAGATTAACAGCTTCACGAATAAATTGGTTTGAGGTAGGTTTATAAACATGACTAAAAGTTTCAGTTGCATTATTAAAATATATCAAAGCATTACAAATTTTTTCACAGGTGTCGATCTCAGCCGAGTTTATAATATAGTTATCATATTGTTTCATAAAAGCAGGAAAATGTTGTTTATATCTAAGAAGAACTCCAATTAACTTATAGGTACTATTCCAACGAATAGACAAATCTTTTGGAAAAGCCACATATCTCTCACCTCTTTCTATCAAATAATCATCCCATTTTTTCCTAAGGTGTCCATTACCCCAAATACGTCTAATCCCCCCTTGACTACCTCCAACGATGCTCCCAACGCTTTTAGACCATCTTGCACACATAAATTTAGAACATGACATGCACATCGTTGATGAAAAAATCTACCCATCAAAGAAGTAGAACCACACAATTCACGCAATCTAGGAATAGCAGCAGTATTATTAGTAGCATTATCAAAACCAATAGCAAACACCTTATCAATTAAATTATACTCAATTAAAATACGTTCAATCAAAATATAAATATGTTCAGCGGTGTGACGATCATTAAATTCACGGAAAGCAAGAACACGTTTATGCATATGCCAATCATTATCAATATAATGTACAGTCAGACCCAAATAATGTAAATTATGATAAGTATCCTCCCATATGTCAGAACATACAGTAACACGTCCATCAAAGTTTGCAAAATAATTTTGTAACCTTACCTTTTCCGCACCATAAAATCTTGAAATTTCTTTCTTAACCGTTTTGCGACTATAACCTCTATATTGCGGATTTAAACAAGTTTGTGCATAATCACGAAAAGCAAGACTTTCAGAAAACAAATAAGGCAAATTTTCTTCAACAAGTAAGTTAGCCATACCTGTCAAATTTTGTGCATCATTGTATGAGAAATTACCAAAAGCTTGTTGGTTATTTGCAAACCTCGATATTTGCGTTTGTTTCCCCGTTCCGCCGCCTAATTTTGCATACTCCACCGGGTGTTTGGACTTAAGGTGTCTTGTGGCGGATCCGTATCCGCCGGAAATCCCCAAACTATAGTTTTTCTTGCACCAATTGCAAGTTGCGGTCCAATTCCCGGTGTTCGGGTCCTTCCACTTAGAAAAATTATTAGCCATTAATTCAGATTTACTTTTTTTTGTACCTGTTTGGGATGAGGCTGCTTGGTCGGCGTCATGGCTGCCGCCACCCTCCTCCTCCTCGTCGTCGTGGCTCTCCGGAATTGCTTCCTCCACATCGTCGTCCTCGTCCTCGAGCTCTTCTTCGTCAATGGTCCTCGGTTGGTCTTGAAAAAAGCGGGAATTATGTCGGTGCAATTCTTGTTCTAGTTGTTCGTCGGTCATCGCATCCCCATCCCTCCTTACGTAACCCGTATCAAAATCATCTTGACTTTGAGATGAAAAGCCGAGATGTGATTTACCTTTGCGGGATCTCTTCCTCGCAAGCTCGTTCGTTCGGTTGCGCTCGAGGTTACCCATATCAACCGAATATCTAGGACGATCCATCTAAAAAATGTAGCAATTAATAAAAAATTGTAAAAAACTAATTAACTATTTATCTAACTATTAATTCGAGTTATAGCAAATTAAGTAGTGAATTTACTAGTTTTGTGTACAACATATTTTATAAACTAGAGTCAAATGTAGCAATTAATAAAAAATTGTAAAAAACTAATTAACTATTTATGTAACTATTAATTCGAGTTATAGCAAATTAAGTAGTGAATTCACTAGTTTTGTGTACAACATATTTTTTAAACTAGAGTCAAATGTAGCAATTAATAAAAAATTGTAAAAAACTAATTAACTATTTATGTAACTATTAATTCGAGTTATAGCAAATTAAGTAGTGAATTAACTAGTTTTGTGTACAACATATTTTATAAACTAGAGTCAAATGTAGCAATTAATAAAAAATTGTAAAAAACTAATTAACTATTTATGTAACTATTAATTCGAGTTATAGCAAATTAAGTAGTGAATTAACTAGTTTTGTGTACAACATATTTTTTAAACTACAGTCAAATGTAGCAATTAATAAAAAATTGTAATTCCAACTATATTAATAAAAAATCGTAATTCCAACTATACTAATTAACTAGTAATTAAACAAGTGTAAATAATAGAATAATTTCGTACCTCTTTCGGACTTTCGGTCTTTCGGATGGGAGTAATAGAATGACTTCAAATTAATTAGATATAATTCCAACTATATTAATAGATATAATAAATATATAAGTAATATATAATTAGATAACAAATATAAGTAATATAATACTATTTATATCTATTTATAGTTTATATAAGTAGATAATTAATATAAACTATAAATAATAAATATAATATATTGGAGAATGGAGAATAAGAGAATTAGAGAGTAGAGAGTTAAGAATAGGATTTAGGAAGAATTGGAGAAGAGATATGAAAAAATGTTTAAGATTAGGAGTATTTATAGGTTTTTTTACCCCCCACCCCCCCCCCACCACCCAACCCACCCGGACCCCCCCTATAACCCACCCAACGGCTATATAGCCGTTTGGGTTGTCCCCAGCCCCACCCCCAACAGCTAGTAGGAGCCCAACATAAAAAAAATAAAAAATAAAATTGATCGAACCGGACCCGGGCCCGACCCGGCCGGGTCGCAAAATTGGTGAACCGAGCCCGCCCCGCCCCTTCCCCCCGGTTCGGGCCCAGACCCGGTCCCGGACCGCCCGACCGGGCCGGTCCCGGACCGCCCGACCGGGCCGGTCCCGGGCCCGCACAGTACCGGGCCGGGTCACGGGCCGGGTGGCCCGAACCGAATCCAACCCTAGGTAGAGTGCATTTAGTACGAGTGATTCTCCTAAAATTAAAATGAAATTTATTTTAATTCTCCGTCATTTTAAGAGAAATTTGCATCCTTAATCATTACATAACACAAGAGTCGCAACTCACAAGAGTATAAGAAAGCTAAGCAAGAATGTGTTTATGTTTCCCTTAACCAGAAAGACGTGCCTATAATCCCTATATAGAAAACCTTTTCCTCGTAAAGAACATAAAACTAAATATTTCACAAAGGCTTCTTCTGGGATGAAACCTTAAATAAATACATAATTGACCAGAACATGCAAATTGTTGTATTCTGATCTGATTATAAACATATAATCATGATTTCACGAGGCAGTATTTGTCTTCTTCTTCTTCTTCCTTGGGGCAAAGCTGCTGGGTCCCATTTCGAGGGTCATTCTCTTCGCCCTTCAAAACAAACAAACACATTTTTTACTATCAGACAGTCGCCAAAACAAAGATGTCAGAGTAAAATAGTAAATTCCTGTCACACAATCTCCAGACAGAACCTGTGTAAAGGGAGAGTTTCGTATAGGGTGAAGCATTTACATCCCGAAACCCCAAAGCCAGATGCATCTTTTGTCATCCCGGGCAATCTTGTGAAGGAAAAACATACTCTTGTTTTTTAAGTTATCAGGTAATGGATTAAAAGTATCTCCCTTGCTAAACCTAGTGTGCAAATATTAATTTTAGACACGCAAGAAAACCCCTAGATCACACTAATTACTTCACAGTACATGAAACTCTTCCTCTATTCTCATTTCTCAATCGCACCTCGCTGCCTCACAGCAGACTACAAGTTAAAGAGGCTCAATCGAATACTAACTAGTTGTTGGGCTCTCTAGAGGAGTAGGATTTAAAATGAATATGGAAATATGCAATTACATTCAAATGGTCTGATTGTCCATCTGAAGGGGAGTGTTAGAATTTGCATGAAATATTAAAGAGAGAATAATAGGTCAGATAAAACTGTCCATTGAACTAGCCTAATGGAGAAGATTCAATATTGTAGTTGGTTACTTGATTGGATGCAAATGCTTTACAACTCAATTGAATGGCCTACATCCAATCCTAAATTATGTCACTAGTCTCTCACATATAACATTGTGTAAAAATATCATCTTCTTCAAATATTTTTTATTTTTTGTTTACTTTCATTACATTTCTTTAATTACTTTGATTTGTTCTATTGCTTTAAAGCAAGAACCGATACAGATGTATTATATTTAGCATATGGAAACCCTTTATATGATTATTATTATTGAAGTGACTATTAATTATTGAAAAATATGAGCTTGATGATTCAAACAATCTCGTCCGTCTCAAAACAGATGAGATTAGATGAGATCGTTTCCCATACAAGGTTATCCTGTCCCGTTCAATCATGTTATTAGAGACAGGTTGGACCGTTTGAGTTTGGGATCATTGTCATCCTATCTCGCCCCCCCCCCCCCCCCCCCCCCCAAATTTATCATCTAGTCTAAAACACCTTTGTACTCATGATAAATGAAATGACTATCAAGATTCACAGAAAGCAATTTGAAACGTACTGCTTAGATAGTTTTTTCGCTTCATGGGCAGCCTCTTCAGACAGTTCATCTGCCAGAAAACCAAGTAATATTGAAGCAAAGTAAGAAAAAGTTGGGTATGAATTCCATCTATAGCAAACTCAAAAAACATGTTTGGCATGGATTCCATCGATAGCAAATTAAAACCAAGCTGTTCAACAGTTAAGAAAAGAAAGATAAAAACATATAGGTTACATTTGGTGGAAATATTTTATTGGGCTTTGGCTCTGTCATTTCAAGTTAGCTGTTTGACCGTGTAAAAAATCTACATGTATTGTTTAATAAGCATCCTATGTAGAGGGAGATAACGCCAAACAACTAATCATGCGACCAACTACTAATGCAAACAGCTCATTGCCTAACCGGTCATACACTGAACAAAGTGATGTTTGATAAGCTGTAAATTACCAAATGACTGTACTTCTAGTGCAAATTTACACCATATGTACATTTGATTACATTTATAACATTTCAATGCGTCTAGACAAGCTACACCCAACATTGCATCAATTCCTCAGTTTGATCATGAGACTACCATACAAGAACCTGAATATTTTCTTAATGACATAATGCTGAGCTGAACCATAACAAATCTTCAATTTTGTTCCTTAGTCCCAGTTAAGACAAAATTGGACTGAAGTGCATACCTTGAGCAATAGCATCGTCATTCTCTGGTTCTAGTTCCGGCTCTGAGCCAGAACCCCATCTATCGCCCCCATCATCATTATCCCAACGTTCTCCAGGCGGAGGATACCAGAAGTCCTCAGATTCTTCCTTATCACTGTCAGTCCCTGGAGAATCTCTCATTTTGGATATAACATTATCAGATTTCTGTTCTTTCTCCTTTTTCTTTTTATTCAAACCACTGGCTTTCTTCTTTGTCTTTTCCTGCACTTGTTCAATTTTCTCATCTAGGAGCATATCATCTGGCATCTTCTGCTCAGCTTCCTTTTTCTCTATAAATTTTTTGGGTGCATGTCAAATTATAAACAAAACTCACAGCACAAAAATGCAATTTTGGGACATGTGTCTCAAAACCCACTATGGAGTATAGAAACAAACGAAAGACAGATCACAGACCTAACATTCTTAGGAAGCGCTTCCCATTAATATGCTTCCAAATATGCTCCTCAGATTTGTTAACAATTAGGCCAGTCAACTTGCATTTTAATTTTGACCTGCAACAATACCAACAGAAAAATAAAGCTTTTGGAACTCTATTGTAGAATTGATCAATATGAATTTATGGATTGAGCTTTTCTTGGTGGTGTGTGCGTTGAGTCATATCCAAATCCAGATTACATTTGAATTTTCAGGCACAGACTTTGATTCAAGTACAGGAGCTCATATAAAATAATACCATCCAAAAAAACATAAGTTAATGCTAAAATTACACACTTTACTTGTATTCAATTACACAACTCTCTTGCATCTCTCTCTGATAATTAGCCAATAACCATAACTCAAAAGGTATAAATAGTTGGATATAACAGAATTGTAACAACCATAGCATGAGAATTTCACTTGATGGTACACAGAACAGTAGTCAAATAAATATAGTTAGTACTATACGGAGTAGTATATATGAATTCAGCTGCAAGATTATGGGAGAAGGAAAAGGTTGGATTACCTGGAAAGAGGGTCTTGAGAGAACATATTCAGGATGGGCTTTTTAGTAGCCAAAGCTGCATCAATGAGGCCTAAACGGCAGTGCTTGCTCCGGGCATACGAGTCTCTGGCATGAGCCGGAAGCTCGTGACCGGTCTCCACGCACTTAAAGCGCCCATTCTCCAGCTGCTTGAAGGTTGGTTCGCCCAATAGGTGGTGCCCTTCCTTCTCCACGTTTTCTTCCCCTCCCTCGTCTTTCTTCGCCATTGCAGTGTTTTTTGTTCAGCAACTGGTTAAACGGTTTTTAGGGCGAAATAATCTGACCAGTGGTTGTATAACCCGCGCCACAATCAGACTCGAGGGTGACAGATCCAGGAAGCCCATTACGTACTGGAATATGGAAATATGGCCCAACAGAACTCTTTCTTCCAGTCACTCTTTGGGTGTTATTGGACCGTTGAACATAATTGGGAATTTTTCAGAACCAAAAAGTAAAAAAATATCACTTTTTTCCCCTTCTTCAACTTTCTTTCTAAAATAGATTAGGAATGATTTTCTTTTCAATAATAGACCATAACCAACACGGCTACTTGTTAAGTAACGCGCTAACGGATTGCATCATTCAAAAATAGTAACGGATTGCACGGGAAGATTGAAAATCCGTTAATATGTCAACGTTATGCTCTATAACTACACTTAAAATTTCATAGTTTTAGAAAACTAACTGAAAAAATGAAAAAATGATGCAAAAATTCATAGAAACTTAATAAATTTGGGTGGTTGAACACTTAACACTTATAAAATACAATAAATGTATAAAAATTATAAAAGTCTCAAATAATAAATAAAATGTTCTTGAAATACATAAACTAAAGTAAAATAAAAAGGAAAAAGTACAAAAAAAACTTAAAACTTATAAATTGAGAACAAATTATAAACAAATATGTAAAATCAGATAAAAATATTTTGGAACCATTTCAAAATATGAAAAGTAGTTATAAATCTGTATGGAAAAGTATATTTTTTTAAATTGATAGATATACAATTTAATCATCAAAAACATTAAAAATTAACATAATTTTTAATAGCATTTAAAAATTCAAATAAATATAGAATATTTTGAAAAAAATTGAAAACATGAAATTAAATTTTGTATAAGTAAAATAAAAAAATATAAATACTTAAAAATTTTGTATAAGTAAAAAATATAAAATATAAAAATTTTAAAAAATACTTATAAATTTTTTATAAGTAAAAAATATAAATATAAAAATTTTAAAATAAAAAATAAAGTAAAAAACGTATTAATTTGTATAAAGTTCAAAACAAAAATATCAAAAAACGAAATTATAAAAAAAATAAAATTGGAAAATTAAAAGTTTTTATAAATATCTAATTTAATACTCTAAA